ATAAAAACCTCACTTCTTCGGATGCATAGCATGAAATGCATCCGAAGAAGTGAGGTTTTTATTCACGAAAGGTTATGCCCAAATAAATCTGTTAGTCTTTAAGGTGCCGCCAGACTCCTTGTTGTTTTAATTAGGCAACAGCATTCCTGACTCAACCACTTTTCTTTTTCTTTGCACTCTCTCATGGCCAGTACCAAGCTCAGTACAGGATGAAGTTGTGAGGAGGCACAAATCCCTTCAGGCTCCTCCCTGCTCCAGTAATCAATTCCTCTCCCCTTCTCCTTGCCAGTTCATCCAATCAGGGATTAGACACTATATTTCATGAGCAGAGGCTTGAGAGAACTTTCTGGCAATAAACCACTTGTTTTATTTTAAGATGCTCCTCTAGGACAATGATGATTTTGGTATAAATGCCAAGATGGCGAGACTGATATGACTTATCTGCCAAATCACAAGTAAGCAACTTAGCTCAGATTTTGACTATCAAGTAGTGAGTTCTCTCAGCAAAATTGTTCATGATCAGCTCATTGAGGTAAAAAGAGTTGTTGAATACATCAGGACAATCACTGTCATCTCAAGGATTGTCCGTAAGCAGAAAAAGAGGCTAAATACATCAAATGTAATATTTGTTGTAAATTATTTACTCAACTTTATCCAGTAACAACATGGTATATTTGCATTCAGTTCATTATGGAATTGAATTTTTCAATTAAAAAACAAAACAAAAATGTTACTTTTTAAAAAAATGTTCACTGAAAATACTCAATATTTTTTGATTGGCCTTAATTACTAGGAAAACCCAGAAGGACTGAAATATGAAGAAAGATTGAGAGCGCTACATGTGTATAGCTTGCCTAAATGAGTATGACTAACAGTGGTATGAGAAAGTCTGTTGTTCTAATATTTAAAGAATGTAAGCAGCAAGGAGGTAAAAAAGACAGTATAACAAGGAATAAGAAGGAAGAACTTAGGCTGAATATCACGAAAAAACATCCTGAAAATGAGATCTATTAAACTGTGTAATAAACTCTCCATAGTAAGTGATGGAGGCCCCATCACTTGGGACATCTGAAACTGGACAAAATACTAGGAAATGTACTATACAGCAGGAGGAAGACTAAATGACCTGATCAATCTATTCATCTTTAGGTTCTATGGCTCAGACTCTGCAACCCTTATTCACGTTGAGTTGCACTTTACTCCTGTAGCGGACCCATTAATTTAAACAGGAAGTTTTATTGATAAGTACTAAAGATGGCAGAATCTGGGTCTGTACATGTATAATGATGCAGTCATATTAAATTGGTAGCAAACATTCAAACACACAGAGACGAGCCTCTGATACTATTAGAATTTAGGGTATAGTCTTATGTTGGCAATCAAGGCTTTTTCTAATAACTTCCATTTTTAAATATTTACGACCACTGATGAATCCTAAAAATTCTGTTGATATCTAATTGTATTTGAAAAACCTATACTGTGCCAATGGAAATGTTGTATGCTATTTTCTTTTTTGGATCTATTATGTTTAAATAAATTTTAGTAACAGTGATAAAGCAAAATAAATTAATCTAAAAATGATATCAATAGAACAACTAATTTTTTTCTGGTCTCAACAGGGGCCACAGATCCACTAGAAAGTCCACAGTGCTCGGGAAATCAGAGTACTGAATCTCTTAGGTGTGCAATGATTGAGACTCTCACAACAGGCTGGATGAACAAAATTAGTTGCAAATAGAATGGCAGGCATTAGTTTCTCTTTCTCCATTGAAGATAGGTGTTTGTGTTTAAGTGCCATTTAAAAGATCTCATAAAATGCGTTAATTACCTATTATTTCATAAACGATGCCCAAAATCATGGTTGCTGATTTAACTACTTCAGAGGGAAGTATTTATTAATCTAATTCCCACTGTTTTCTATTTCCTATCTTCTTTTATCCCGGAAAACTACCAATCCCACACAACTCTATTAAGTACCAATTAAAGAAAGATTTGTCATTCCAGCTCAAGACCATTGAACTGGGGCTGGAGCTACATATCTCCTAGCTTTCTGACAGAAATTATTTTAATTGGACTTTTCCTAACAGCATTAAAACAAACCCTGTGCTGCCAGGGAAGGAAGATATGACTCCTCAGTCAGATAATTTACCTTTTTTTCTCCCTTGCCATAAATCTTAGTATGAAGATGATTAGTAACTTAAGTCTATTTTTTAAAGGCATCCAACTGTGACTACTTTAAGCACTGAAAAACATCACGTGTCAAGTATAAATGTCCTATTGCCAGTTGATTTACTTTCACACATTTGTTGGGTGTTTCAACTATTTCTACACAATTTAATTTCTATCTATTTAAATATCTAATTTTATTTGGATTTTAAAATGGTCTGATGAATTGGTCTGTAATGCAGTTTGAACTCAAAGATGTATAGATACATTAAACATATTATCCATGTTTGACTGGCTAAAGCTATCAAGAAAAAGATGCATTTCCAGGGGAGCTTTGTTGATATGCCTAAAATCCAACCAAGTCTGATTTTGGTTGAATGACCTTTTTGTCAGAAGTTAAAATCCACCAACACAGAGTCTGACTAAACTCTGGATACGTTTGTTTTGGACCCTGGGTGTTTTCCTTACAGAAATGTAAATTCTTCCAGAATAGAAGGGTAAGTTTTCCAATGTCTCACTAATGTGGGTGTGTGGTGCCCCAGAATTTCTAGCATAGCCTGCCCAGTGCTCCATGTGGTTAAGTAAACACAGCATGGGTGTTGGGGCATGTGGCCAATGCTGAGGCCAGGATGAGGCCAGGAGGAAATAAGAGCAAATTCCTCTGAAATGATCTGACAGGAAATGACAGAGTGTCAGCCTTCTATAACCATACTCAGATAGAGAGAGAGAGGGCGGGAGAAGTTCTTCCTAAACACAGAGTGGTGCCAGATCTCAGTAGGTGAGGATGATGAAATAATAAAGCATTTCCCGTGTGTGTTTTTCATTAGTCCTATTTTGTTTTTCTTCCAAGTGCTGTGGAAACAGAACAGAAGCCCATGCTTCAGCCAGGACCGCAATGGCCTCCTCCCATGGGAGTAACAGCTGCATAAATAGGAGGGAAATCCTCAGCGGAATAGCTTCCAACACCTTTCTAATGGAAATAATGATTTGCAAAACCCAGTTTATGCCTCTGCCACATAATTAGTAGCCAAAAGAGCTAAAGATTAAAAACACTGTTCCAAGTCCCAGCATCTCTGAAATTTGGCAAGACCTTAAATATTGCACTCTGTGTTCCAAACAGGTTGCCTATATGTGAGCATTGCAAGGAAAATCTTAGTCAGTTGAGTCAAGCCCTTGAATCAGTCAACACTTATTATATGGAAATTAACCAGTTTGATGTCAATTAGTGGAAATTTGTTAGCAGGCATACCCTGTGGGACAGTTTATTTTGAATTCCGAATACTCTTTATTGAAGCCAGCTAAGATAGTTGATGTGGTCCCTGACTCCTTCTTTAAAAATCAGAGTAGAATTAGTTAAGAAACAGCTAAGAAACGCAGAGAGAAAAAGCTACATTGAAACACTCTTCAACACTCAAAACCTACCGCTCCAAAATATCCATTGTTGAATGGGCATAAATGCAAGGAAATCAAGATCTGATTTTCTGTTTTAAGAAGGAACAGAAGTATTAGATGCATATCAGCCTGTTCTGTATTTGTCAATACTGAGCACTGGATGGGAAAGGCAATTGTTCTAACGACCATGCTCAAAACTAGCCACATGCTCACCTAAAACATTTTCCAGCTATAAAGCTGGTGTTTCTTTTCCATCATGTTGGTAAGTATATGCTTTATACTACTATGTACAAACTGGGTGTGTATGGGGGGGGGGGGGAGCGAAACAGCTATGAATGTGGAAACTCTCATGGAGACTTGCTGCACTGAGAAAAGTCATAAAAGAATAAAGGAAGCAATAAAGAGCATGATCCTGCTCCCCCTGAAGTTCACTTCAAGAGTAGCAGGCCCAACCCTGTGAGTAGGAAGAGCACAAGCCAAAATAGTAGAGTAAATACAAGGCATCCTAGTGATTAGTAAGGTGCTCAGATACCATGGTGATGAGTAGTGTAAAGCGGAGATAAAGTCTACTCTTCCAAGAAATGAAGTGGAAATGAAAACCATGGAAATATACACGTTATATCTTAACATGAGAATACAAAACTGAGATCTTGGCAAAAATGTTATTTTGAACTATAGAGGGCAACAAATACCACTCACCTTGCTTGAAGGGATGGGAGTGTGAGCTGGTCAGCCAGACAGAAGGGGGACTTTGGTCAAGGATGGAGACGATCTGGAGGTTTTCCCACTTTGCTTTACATTCTTGTATACCTTGTGGTGGGGGAGGAGCTGTGTGAATGTTCAGCTGCCTCTGATTCCCTGAAATGAATGAGACCCCCCAAGAGCCCCCCAAGAGCCATAGAAGTGGACTTCATTCATTTCAGGGATTTCTTTGTTCTCCTAAACTGACTGCCATATCTGACATCTACTGTTCCCTTCACCCTGTGATTTAGTTAGTAGCTGTATGTTTAGTGCTGGATTTTCCCCCAGTGTTGAGTTCAATGGCATTTTGGTGTTAGGAAGGAATTTTTTCCATGATGCCAAAATTGCAGTGTGCTTTTGCAGCTTCATCTCAGCAACCAGAAGATCATGGTTTAAGAACATAAGAACGGCCATACTGGGTCAGACCAAGGGTCGATCCAGCCCAGCATCCTGTCTGCCAACAGTGGCCAATTCCAGGTGCCCCAGAGGAAGTGAACCTAACAGGCAATGATCAAGTGATCTCTCGCCTGCCATCCATCTCCACCCTCTGACAAACAGAGGCTAGGGACATGATTCCTTACCCATCCTGGCTAATAACCATTAATGGACTTAACCTCCATTAATTTATCTAGGTCTCTTTTAAACCCTGTTATAGTCCTAACCTAGTCCTAGTTATGCATGTTTATGTCTCAACTTTTGCAGGTATCCACTGTGCATTGTGCCCTTTCCAATGCCTGGTTAGCAAACTGATGACCCAAAGAAGGCATTGGGTGTGGTATGTTATGCAAGGCAACTGGGAGTCTCAAAGCTGAATGGGGATTGAGGCTCCCCTTATCCATAACTGTAACCCTCACATGAGAAAGGCATAGCCAGGGAATGCAGCTGCAGGAATATATCCCTTGATAAAGGACAGAGGTAATTTGACAGATTTCCTTCTTTATATGGCTTACGGGGCCCTCTTCTAGCAGGTGTGGGGCCAGGTATAGAAAATATGCACTGGATAGTTATGTGCTGAATAGTGGGTGGTTGATATGATTTCCCCTTTAATTCCAATTTGTTGTTTAAAATTAATAAAGTTGTTGTTGGAACTCCCTCCAAAACCTTTTCCATTCGGCTTATCCAGAACATCTCGTCTTGTTCTGGGAGAGCTCTTCATCCAGTTCTCTGAAATCCAAAACACTCAGTTCGACTCTAAATTTCGTCACTCAGGTTCCTTTATTTGGCATACAGCAAAGCTATGCTGAGTTGATCAGACTCAAGCGCAGGGGGCAGGTTTAGGGCATACCACACATCCAAAGTTACACAACAATCTCTTCCTTTATTTACATATTACACTGCATTTGCTATACATTACACCACACCTTTTAGAATTGGCTTGGTTACTTTGCAGGAAACAATCCCTATACAGCATGCTGTTCACATGGAACCTGATCTTTACATTCCAGGTTTATCTTATTCATAGTCCCTAGATCCAGGTGCTGCTGCTTATCTTACCTAGCACAGTCATCCTCCCTCCAGCGTACTGTTTGTCAAGCCCATATTTACAACTTAACCTTCCATTCACCATCCCAATTATGCCCACTAAGAAATGAGGCAAGAAATTATGTCAAGCCAAGTCTACAGTTGTAGCATCACATAATATTTTAACCACACATAGCTGTGTCCTGAGTACTACTAGTCCTGTGTGGCAAGATCAATAATATACTATCAAATTAAATACTAGGATTTTGGGTTTAATCTAGAACTCCTTACACAAGCATAACAATGCTAATGAACCCAAGGGTAGGAAGGAATAGGACCTTAATAAACAAACAAACATGGAAAACTCCCATTGACTTCAAGCATGGATTTCACCCCTAGACTCTTCCCTTCACTGCTCCTGCCAAACTCACAGTAACTGATCACATAATACTTAATGTGATGCTCTTGTGTGATTGGTGTAGTTAGCAAAGCCTTTCCACAAACAAATATCGATAATATTGGCATGGTTGTTGTTAAGAACTGTTACCTAGTTGAAGTTGCTCTTTAAAATTAATGTTCTAAAATGTTCAAAATGTTTTTACATTGATAGTAATAATGTTCTGCATTAAAATTTGCAAACATTTATTAAATAAGCCATTCAAAGTAGTGCAGTACAACACTCCCAGAAGCTGGCAAAGGAGGCACCACTGTCAAAACATAATGTATTTTCTTTGATACTGATAGGGGTTCTGTAACCTACATGATCAATGCAATTTATCACCAGATTCAGGCAGTGACAGCACTTACTTGAGCACAGCCTGATAAAGTTGCAATTATCTTCTTTGGATACTGTTGGCCATCCAAGCTTCCATAATTCCACTAGTAAGGACTGATTCTAAGACCAGCACACTGTTTGGGTAAGGTCATCTTTACTTGTGGTCATAGCTATACTCAATTCTCTATCATTATTGGAAAGACAACAATCACATAAAATAGACTGGGGTTTTCCCCTTTAGGTATGTGAAGAAAGTGAAATTTCAACAGTAATTATATTTTAAATGAACTAATTACATTATAATAAAAACACAGGCAAATCTTGCACTGTCTTAGACTTTACAAAAAAATTAGAAATATCTCCAATTCATTAATTTATCAGGGGATTTATACCTATGTACTCAAACACATGAAGTAAAGGCTAGAGTGGAAAAATCAATCTAGATACATGTAACATTTCACTTCAGATTTGGAAAGGTCATTCAACATATTTTGTATAAAAAGGTTTTATATGCTGACAAATTAGAATATAGACACACTGGAATTTGGAATACTGGACCCATAAACTAGGGTAGGGATAGGCAATCTATGGCACATGTGCCGAAGGCGGCACACGAGCTGATTTTCAGTGGCACTCACACTGCTCGGGTCCTGGCCACCAGTCCGAGGGGCTCTGCATTTTAATTTAATTTTAAATTAAACTTCTTAAACATTTTAAAAACCTTATTTACTTTACATATAACAATCATTTAATTAAATATTATAGACTTATAGAAAGAGACCTTCTAAAAACGTTAAAATGTATTACTGGCACGCAAAACCTTAAATTAGAGTGACTAAATGAAGACTCAGCACACCACTTCTGAAAGGTTGTCAACCCCTGGATTAGGGTGACCAGACAGCAAGTCTAAAAAATCGGGACCAGGGGTGGGGGTAATAGATGCCTATATAAGAAAAAGCCCCCAAAATTGGGACTGTACCTATAAAATCAGGACATCTGGTCACCCAACCATAGATACTAATCTTTTCAGGAACAGCAAGACTTTAAGGGCCTGATCTTGCAGACCTTTTCATGTGTGTAGATTCTATTAAAGGCAAGGGAAGTTTTGATTCCGATTCACAGATTTTACCACACAGAAACTAAATACCTCGGAGTTTTGCCATCAAAATCAATGGGGCGAAAATTTCACACCTGGAATATATATTTTTCCAAAGTTCCTTATTTGTTCTATGTTATACACCAGTGATCTGAGTTAAGTGCACAGTTATCAATAGACAATGAAGCAGTGCCTAAGCAAGTTTTGGTATACTTAACATGGAGCAACCTTGTAGTTACAAGTATCATGGGGTAGCTGTGTTAGTCTGTAGCCACAAAAACAACAAGGAGTCCGGTGGCACCTTAAAGACTAGCAGACTTATTTGGGCATAACTGTAATTCTACTCCATGCATCTGAAGAAGTGGGTTTTTTACCCACAAAAGTTTATGCCCAAATAAATCTGTTAGTCTTTAAGGTGCCACCAGACTCCTTGTTGTTCTTGTAGTTACAGTAACTGTAGGTTGCCCTATTTTTCCAAAACTTCTGTGAGCCTGGTCTGGCAGTGCTAAAACAAAGCTTCTACTAAACTCAGTGGGAGATTTGCTTTAGTAAGCCTAGGCGTAGCTTGATTTCTATATTTGGGGAGTCAGCACCAGTCAGTCCAATGGGGCTCCATGGAGGAGGGCACAAATTTCACACTGGCTCAAGGCTTGCAGTTTGGGGGGGCAACGCCCCCTGTTCCCTTCCAAACTACACCCATGTTAAGGGCTTATGTAATTAATTTGTGTCACTCACAATTTAGGACTGGATGGTACAAAAAATATCAACAAAGTGACCCAAATAGCATGATAAATAAAGATTAAAACAAGCCTTTAGACAATTAATGCACTCTATTTCTGAAGGAAAAAAGGAGTTAATCAGACACACACACCCTTCTATGATTTTAGTACTGAGTTGGATGACCATTGACATCAATGCAAAGAGTCCATTGGCTTCAATGAATATTTAAGGTATATTTAATCCTGCCTCTACATGGAGGGTGGGATGGACTAGATGACCATGAGGTCCCTTCCAACCCCTACATTTCTCTTATTCTAGTATTGGATCCGTTCCATAGTTAACTTTGTCTGAGCAGATATATTTGTAATATTGTATATGCATGAGCCAAGGCAAGGAAAACTTTAAAAAAGAAAGTACATTTAAACTGTATGTTTTCCAAAACAAAAAAGTGTTCTGTAAACGAAAACTCTGGATTCACTAAGATATGTTTCCTTAACCAGCTACAATGTATTAATGTACATCTTCAAAATAAAACAAATAACCCTTCAAGTATTACAGTAAATAAGGCTTTATTCTGAGTGCTGTCTAAATCAAACGTATATGGCTTTGAGTATTTTTACCAAAAAAGAAATATGAAAGAGGCACTGAGAGTAACATGTCCTCAGGGGGTATTTCCATTTGCAAGTCATGCACTCATTTCACATATCATTGATTGCGCTGAGAGTTCTGTGTAGAATATACAGAATTGTCTGATCTGCAGCCTGGGCAAGCAGATATCAGTGCAGATCACAGAGAAGAATTTTGCCTTCAAACGCTTTTGGTCCACAGTTATGAAGCAACTCTCTAGAATGATCTCTTTGAGCCTTGTAGGGCCCAATCCAATGTCTGCTGAAATCAGTGGGAATTATTCCATTGACTCAAATGGGCTTTGGATGAGGTCATGACGGTCCTCAGTCAATTCACTGTGCTAATCTTCCCTGGCCACCAGTGGGAGTTCCACACAGGGAATTGTGGATAGAACATACTTCAGAAGTGCAGTTTTCTTCAAAGTGAGGGTATTCATTATGGAGAAAGAAAACCCAGTTTTAAAAGTTTCATTTGGACTCTGAATGGGAAAAAAGTTATTATTTTCCCATTTCAAATTCAGGCTTCTTCTCCAGCAAATAGAAATAATCCATCCACGATTAACATAGTGAGGCCCTGCTGCTATCTCTATATCTATATGCACATGCTTACCTTTATGTCCCATTGAAGTCAAGCATACATGTTAGTGCTTTCAGGACTGGGGCCTCAGCACACGTTGGGCTGAAGGGAACAATATGTTGGAAGCCACTGCATTCATTGTGAGATGTAGTTTAAGAAGATATGAAAAGCCGTGAATTAAAAATATATATGGCAGATTTTTAATTACTATTTAAACAACAAAATCCCCCACTTTTATATTGTTTATATTTGTAACTAGTCATATAGGTAGTGTAAATCAGTGGTTCTCAACCAGGAGTACACAGAGGTCTTCCAGGGGGTACATCTAGATATTTGTCTAGTTTTACAACAGGCTATATAAAAAGCACTAGCTAAGTCAGTACAAACTAAGATTTCATACAGACAATGACTTGTTTATACTGCTCTATATCCTATACACTGAAATGTAAGTACAATAATTATATTCCAATTGATTGATTTTGTAATTATATGATAAAAATGAGAAAGTAAGCCAGTTTTCAGTAATAGTGTGCTGTGACACTTTTGTTTTTTATGTCTGATTTTGTAAGCAGGTAGTTTAAGTGAGGTGAAATTTGGGGTACACAAGACAAATCAGACCCCTGAAAGGGGTATAGTAGTCTGGAAAGGTTGAAAGCCACT